CCAATATGTGCAAACGTGTTATACCTACAATATAAAAAACTGTGCCATAATTTATTTTAGTGTTAATAAATTTTTCTTAATTTTTTGCGTGTGTGTATTTTCATTTGATGCATTTTTCCGGTGTGCGCCGGTTTTATCCATGAAAAAAATCAGCGCTTGATAAAACTACATTTTTGCACTAGTTGCATAATTTTGCCTATAAATAGCGAGGACGATGAAACACCCACCTGTGTCTGCTCAGCTGAAACTAAACAAAAGGTGGACTATAGTTTTGTTTGGTATTGAAAGCTTACCTCATCGCTTACGTCATCGTTGTGTTACACTCCTTCTAATTTTACATCTGTTTGGCACGAAATTCATTTTTCATGGTTTACCCTTCATCTAATAATTTATACTTTCAAATTTATTCAAGATGAACGTGGCTTCGAATAGATACACTTTAATATGTGTGATGGTCATTTTATATACAACTTCATGATTTTTGAAGTTTTATTATTAACATTAATGATTGATAATATTAATATGTATTGTGTTCTGATTTACAAAATAAATTTACACTTAAAATAATATACAATACAAAAATACATAAAAAAATTGTAGTGCATATTTTCAAGAAGAACTGACTTTAAAAAAATGTACAGCAGCAACTACAAAATTAGAAGTAGAATCATTGATGTGACAGTATTGGATGAGTGCAAGACTTCTGAAACCTACTGATGCATCAATAAATTAAACCCAATAGATTTGATACTTGTTGCTTAAAATATTTAATTTTGTTGCTTAATGTATTTTGAGTAAATAGGCCGTAAGTGTGGCACTCCCAAAAATAACCACGTCAAACCTTCTGGATTGCAGATTATTTCTCCTTAGAACCTGCGGAACTCATAACGTGTGTCCTTTACTAAAATCTATAAAAGGAGACAGCTTTTGTACTTTATTGATCCTTCTGCGTATCTTCTGCGAAACAGGAACAGAATAGAAAATAAGACTGGTCTTCCTTTATGAACGAATGGCAAAAACAGTATGAAATTGAGCATCCACTACACGATTAATATGTTATTGAAAAATTGATACGATTTTGCTTTTGCTTTAAATAAGAGTTGTTTCAATATGTTTGAAAGATTGATATTTATTTATTTTTGTATAAAAACAGCAAAACTCTTAATGCACAATTTTCATAGGGCTAATAACAATTTTACGCTGAAGTACTAAAAATGCTCAATTGGTACTTATCTCAATAATGAAAACAGCTTAACTTTCTAAATGAACATTAAAGACTCGTAAACCGTTGTTTTATGTGATGTGAGCTTAAGAACTTTCTACGATACGAGTATTTTGGATGAATTTTTAGGTTCCTAAATTACCAATAATGTATAGTTCCATTATTCCAGAACTGGTTGGAAATAAACTGTAGCGCGCTTCTAATGTTTTGCAGACACATTTTCCAATATTTACGTGAATCTGAAAACTGTGTTTGGCCCTGGTAGCAGGGCGTGATATCACACGGTGTAGGAATAGAGTTTAGTGTTGCATGCTATTGTTTAATCTATGTTTTCATGTAGAATTATGTAACTTCGTGTTAAAATTCTTGTAGTCCACCAGTCTAATATGTTGATTAGAAAAATTCTCATATTTTGTAAAAGTCGACACAGACATTATCGAGTAGGTATATTGACTTTTCAAGGTATAAATTATTCTTAAGTTGAAATGAGTCTAATACCCCTACTAAATATAAGTCAGACAAATTTGCTTTCATTATTTGGATATTATAGCGTCCGGTACATATTTACTTCCGTGGAACGACCCCGGATGAATATTTGTTTAAAAAACGTAACATTATATGTTGATAACATTGTCATGGTTAGGTGCCTCAATAATAATATCTATTAATTAAAGATCTCTGCGAGATAGCTCGCGTTGTGGTTGAAGCGAACTTAATTTCTTCTAATTTCTTAATTAAATGAAAAAAAATTATGCAACGAATGCAACAATGGTGCTTTTAACCACAGCTGGTAATTTTTGTTGGTGTGGTGATGATAAGTTGCACCTTCGAGGACACAATGCATTTAATAATATGTACATGCATAATAGGTGTGTTTCTTCATCATATGCCAGAACCAATTTATTTCGATGTGTTATTGGTATGCTACTGGTGTGCTATTAAATAATAACAATGGTACGTCTGATTCACATTTTTGTTAATCTATTAGTAATCTTTTAAAAATATGGAAGTTTGTCATTATTACTGTGCTATTTTTTTACAGTGCAATTCAAATTCAACTTACTGAATTTTTAAGGTAATGTTTACAAGCGTGACCGCAGTGGACAAATATGTCTCAATTACGGAATTAATCATCCAACAATGAAATGCAAGCTGCTGTTTAAATAATATCGGTGCTTTTAGTTTAATTGACCTTAAATGTACTGTAATCTTTCCCACCAACGCAACATACTTTCATTTATTCTCGTTAAGTAATCTAAATGCGTGTTTTTAAAAGTAAGAATATATAATTCATAATTAATTAAGTTGTATATGTAACTAACGACTAGTTCAGAAGCCAAAACTATAAACAGATTAAATAGTAGAACACGTATTAACTCTTTACATTGTTATCAAATTATGTTGTCGATAACTTCTGTTCGATGGCTTAATTTAGTTTTCGCTTAATCCACCTTAAATCATTAACATGGCAATTTCCACGCCTCTTGAGCACAATCAGTATAAGATCTCAAGGTCTCTTTTCAATAGATCGATCTCTTGGTAGGGATAAATAATAATAATTAATTAGTCCTACGATTTTCACCTAGACATATACGAAAAATATTCAAGCAAACACATTAACAAAGGATGTTTTTGTCTTATTACATATTATCAAGAATATCGTCTTCTTAGCGTTTTCATTCATTCCAAAACTTGACCTAGTGACTACTGACTAGTGTCATTGTTTAATGTTCAATGTGTGATGATGCTCAGGTTGTACATTTGTTGCGATTTAATAAACATTTACATAAATACGCTACTACTATCGGTACGCATTTTCTCACCACAAAGGTTAATTGATTTACTTATTGAACTTGAAAACCTTTTTGGTAGAGAAACGATTTAAACTGACAAAGTATTCATGATTTAAATGTTTCCGTTACTTTTAATAAATAAGTATGAAGTAATTCATAGTGCCGGGGTGCCACCTTTTTAAATATTTTTTTCTGAATTTTGTGTATTACTTCATCGTTTTTGCTCCCACATCTCTTTCATAATTTTTTTCATTTACTCATTCAACGTTTCTGATCGTAAAATCCTGAAGTTGATTTCTTGTAAAATAAAAACCGATATTAACAAATTTAGATTCTTACGACACTTTGTTTACGCAATCCATTTTCAGATCATCAATGTCTGGCCATTCGAGTACCATTAACAACTCAGAGTCAATCTAAATGTGTTCTTGTTTATCAATAAACTGAGAAAGTTGGAAATATTTCATATTATAGTGTGCTATATTTTTAATGACATACTCATTAACAGCAGCAATTATGGATAATATGGCGGCTTATTTGAATTCTTGAGTCTTATAAAAAAAACACTAACTGGTTTATGATAACCAGTTTTGATAAAATTATGAATATAAATTTAATTAATTATAATTCAGTTTTGTTGTTTAAACAAAAAAAATTGTAGTGTCTTGTATGACATTCCTAGGCTAACTTTATTGTATCTTCTAAATGAGATTTACCCATTGAAATTCTAGTACAAATGGATGCATGCCAAGTTTTTTATAATATTTATTAACAAATAATAATAATTATTTATACTTCGCATTAACGTTTAACATACTTTAAATTAATTACAACCGGTTCTGCAATGTTTGGAATGCGCGGCAAAACTTGTCTGTTCAACACCTTAAGAGCAAATTCTGACTTTTATATGCGTTAATAACGATGACATCAGATTTAACCTCAATCAGTAAAATGTATTTTTTAATGCACTCCTTTTATGGCATGGTATTTTTGCAAGCTAATTAAACTACACCAGCTGCGCACGAAATGGAACAAATGTCATAACTCCTATCTCCAAGAGCGAAAGCATCTCAGGTGCATACATATATGGATATGGATAATTTATTCATCCCCTCCAGAATCCCCACGACGTCATCTCAAATTATTGTCAAGTAATCTTAAATGTGGCTGAACAACCTGTACTTTAAACACCAACACTATAAAAAAAAATTTGACCATCAAATTATACGATTTATTTGGGAAATTATTGCAATACTTGTTCAAAATATGGCTTAGGGATTGATTAAAATTATTAAATCCATTTTTGGGAAAGAAGCTCTGGCTACATAACTTTGTCCTTTTAATAGATTGTTTCTGTGCTGAATGATTAAAAAGTGGAAAAATGCAAGTATCAAACATTGAATGTGTGTTGCGTTAATTTCACGTGATGTACCTAGAGTATACAAACCATCTTGAAATACCTATCTAAATATTATGACAACAAAGATCTTTTCAATTTCAACTGCAATAGAAATGTGGTTACATTGAAAAAAAATCATTGCTTAATTTCCATCTTTATAAAAAAGTCTACCCACAATTCAAAAAAAAATATATGCATTATGAGGATCTGCTAAATTCAACAGCAGATTTAGTTGAACTGATATTACAAAACTAACCTAAATTAAATATATACACAGAGGAGTAGAATATAAAAATAATACGAAAAAGTTTACAGTTTGAACTTGGCTGTTTGCTGATATTGTTTCTGGGGCAGCTACCTAGACAGTTTTATGTAACATTTAGTAGAACAGATGAAACTTTGCCAAAATATTTTCTTGGCATTTCTATTGTTCACTCTAACTGCATGGCCAAACTGAAATATGTAAACATTTCCTAACTGCTCGATCTCATTAGTCGGTAGTAAGTTACTAAAAAAGCGTAAAATAATTGTTAAAACTGATAATTAAAATTTGTAGCGTTTGTCTAAATATTTTGTTTTATTTCAGCAAGGAGTCGGAGTGGAGTTCGTTCGCATCTTACCCGAGACACATCCTCCAGTTCTATCGAATATTTTTGCCGAGAACGATTCGAAAGATGATGTGGTAAGTAAACATACCTTTTTATAGCTTCATGACATCACATCACCATTTCTCGATCGCAATTACATCAACGACATTTAAAACTATGACGAAAGCAATCAATGTTACTAATCTGTTTCCGTCGAGGGATTAAGGTCGCCTATGTTAAATATCTTTGGCAGCTGTGATGTAATGTAATTTACCAACCATTAATAAGAGATTTCATTGCTCGGCCGGCAAAGTTGAAGCGGCAAAGGTTAATCGAGTTGAAGAAAAAAATGTGGAACGTTACAAGATGATTATTTCGTTTTGCAGAAATGAGTTCGAGGAAAAATAAGTTGCAACTAATGTCATTGACGGTAATAGTCCATCATTATTTACGCATATTAGACAATTCTGTTTACCAGTTAGTCTACTTTTTTACTAAACTATTATGCTGCCAATACCTAGAGGGTGTTTCACCTCAATTGATCGGTCAAATTATTTCTATGCTATCTATTACCTGTAAAAAAAATAATTACGCAATAAAAATGTATTAAAAAAAACTTTTTAGGAACTCACAACTTAGTTATATTATATGTACTTCCGGTTTCGCCGGAAATAAATAACTTTCCGTAAATAGACTTTGTAGATTCTCTATCTATACTAAATATTTCATTTAACTTCTGTACAGGTACAATCTAGTTTTAAATTAGTTTGATTGCTTAAGTGAGATAATACATTCTTAGGTACTTTCGTTTTTTTATATGGGATTCGCTTAATAAATTTTCTTCGTGTGAAAGTGTTGTGCATAGTTAAAATGATACACATAACTACTTGACCATTCTGAATAAGGTAACAATTTGAACTTTCCTTTTTTAATTTATTACAATACATATGTAGTTGTAATCTTCAAGATACATTTATTTATGTTTAATACGGGCTGCTGTTAAACATTGTATTTATACATAGTTATTTACTCACCATTCTTTAATGGCTACAGTGATATTTTCTTGTTACTCAGCTGAAATATATAATAATTTTAAAGCTGGACTTTATTATTAGAGAAATATTCATTACCAAAATCACTGAAGTAGATACATGTGTTTGACTTCGGTTATGATACTTTTTTAAAGAAATCACCATTTTTTGTGTAAAAATGATAGTAAAAAATCTATTAATTTAAAATAAGACTAATTTGTGTATACTTGTTTCATTTGGGATGTAGCTCATCAAAGTTTATGATAATATTGAGCCCTTGACGATGAGGTGGAGATGCGGTAAATCTTTGTTAGCTGATCCAGTTGCAGTTACATTGTCTCTGGAATCTACTTGATTGTTAATCCAGGATCAGCCTCTTGTAACATGGATTAAAAATACCTTTGGACGCATGTACTTTTTGCTTATTTAATGAATGCGGTAATAGTGAATGAGCATGAAACGTTGAATTCTTTTATGTCTAAATCCTTCATAGTCGCACATTCAATTTATTTCTTGGAAACATTCTTTTGCAAGATTTTCATACTACCGTTTCAGCAATTCAAATAAAAATGACCGAAAAGTATATTTAAGTTCTAGCTCTATTTAAAATATTCGAAGTACGTCACTACATGAAAACAATTAGTGTATATTGATCGTTTTTTGTATAAAAATACGCATTGTCATAATACGAGGCACTGCGGAGTAATGCGCTGCAAATATTAAGGCTGGGAGTTTACGTTGACGATCATTCCTCACAAAATTTGCCTTAAACCTTACCGCCAGCATTGAAATAAATTTAGAAGTATGGGGAAACCAAAAATCGCCTATAAACCATCAAATTGCGAATAACTGTTTCAGGATCTGTTAAAAAAGAAACACTAGTTGTGTCAGTTTTTCGTTTTTGTCACATTTTCCACAACTTCTGAGTGCAGCAATACGTAATGCATTCTTTTTTTCTCAATTCTACACTCACCCTATCTTCAGGATATAATTTTCCTAAAGATAATTAATAACTAATAATGAATATAAAGTCATTTAATTTCATTTAATCTTTATATACAGTATGTCCCCGGATTGAGTTCACAAGAGGAAAAAAAAACTGTATTTTCTATTTTACAAAAAAATGACGTAGGAATAACATTTTTTGCTTAATTCAAAACCAATAAATCTGCAATTAAAACTTCAATATTCCTGGTCTGTACTCTTAAAATTAATTTTTTCATATTTCTAAGTTCTTCGTTATTTTTAGTTTTTTTCGATTTTAAGGACAGAGCCTGATAATATTAAAATTTTAATTTCGGATTTATTCGTTTTGAATTAAGCAAAACATGTTATTCCTATGCATTTTTTTGTAAAATAGAAAATACAGTTTTTTTTCCTCTTGTGAACTCAATCCGGGGACATCCTGTATAAAAGGCAATGTCCCGACTGACCTATCAACGCCCAGCCCAAACCGCTAATGCTAGAAAGTTGAAATTTGAAGAGAATGTTCATTTTATACTGGAGGCATCGTTTAAGAAGGGATTTCTCGAAATTCATCCCCTAAGGGGGTTAAAAAGCGGTGATAAAATTTGTATAGGACCAATATGTCTACTGTAAATTTACATCGTTACGTGAAACCTGGTACATTTCAATTCTCTTCAATACAAATAACGAAACACATATTTAAGCATTTTCGGAGATTTGACCCCTAAAGGGGTAAAAAGTGGTGTCCAAGTTTGGGCGGCTAAGTTTGTGTAGGAACAGTAATATTTCTGCTAGAAATTGAAATTTTTACGTGAAACTTCGTATTAATGTTCTTCAACAAAAATAATGAAATCCATCTTTAAGCATTTTCTAAAATTCAACCCCAAAGGGGTTGAAATGTGGAGCCTAAGGTTGTACGGGAAAGTATTTCTATTGTATATTTAAATTTTTACCGGAAAATTGGTATTAATGCTCTTCGAGACAAATATTTAATGAAACAGGTATGTAAACATTTTCCGAGATTCAACCCCTAAGGAGGTAAACAATGTTACGTGAAACTTGGTATGAATGCTCTTCAGTGCAAATAATGAAGCACGTATTTAAGCATTTTCTGAGATTGAACCCCTAAGGGGGTGAAAAGTGGTTGCGAAGTTTGTCTGGGAAAAATATTTCTCCTTTAAATTTTTACGGGGAACTTGGTAGGGTATTAATACTCTTCTACACAAATAATGTAACACGTATTTCAGATTATTTCGAGATTCCATCCTTAAGAAGATGAAAGGGGGTGACAAAATTTTTATGAGCAAACATTTTTTATGTCGATTTTTACTGGAAATTATATTAATGTCCTTCAACACATTTTTTACTTGAAGGTTGATAATAATGCTCTTCAACACTATGAATCGTCTACGCGAGCGAAGCCACGGGCGAAAAGCTAGTTTCGTATAATAGAGATCACAGGTCTACTTCGAAGTTACGTCTAACATCACCATTTTTTGTAATAAGAAATAAATATAAAAATGTAAAATGTGCTTACCCTGTGTAGTAATTTGTTTAAAAACTCACTAAATACTAATGTTATACTTCTAGTTTATTATCTTTTGGAAGTAGTTAAAACTAATAATTTTATACAGTGTAACACCAATTATAGTTTACCTATTTTTCAGATTTGTAGAGAAATTAGACGAACACAATGGGCGTAATTAATAAAAAAATAAAAGCTTATCCTTTGGTACATAAAATTTATATTTACAAAAGCTAAAAAAATAATGATAATAAAGGAATAGTAATTGAAACGATAAAGTACAGAAGAATTAAAATATATGTAGTAAGGTTGTAAGTATGTTGTATAATAGAACAATAAAGGTAAAAAACAAAAACAGCCCTAAAGATTTCTTTTTCTACTATAGTCAGCTGTTATCCGTTGCTATGCAATAGTATAACGTCACAATTTTTTTAATGTTTTTACTTGCAGAGCGTAAGCTAAGGAAGTATTGTAATCGAGTCAATTGGCTGACTGGGCACTTTCATGTTTTTTCGATTTCATGACACCTAGAATACGAAAAAATAGGTGTCTCGTTTGCGTCTGTTTGTCTGCTGCCTGTCGTCTGTCCGCCTCTGTGTCGATTTTTATTGGACAGATAATCTCCGCAACTATCGTACCGATTGTTGTCAAACTTTGTATGTATATTAAGAATATCATGTAGATGCTAAAACTCATTTCCAATTTTTACAATTCTAAATGTTATTTAAATTTTATAAAATAACATAATCCTTCACTTGTAGTTTATGAACCCGTGTTGAGTTTTTACCATAAGTCTTCAACGGGATATAGAGTTATTAGAATCTGTGCAAAGAAGGGCCACAAGAATTCCATTTGGTAGAATTCGGCCGCAGTATGCTGACAGACTTGCAATGATGGGTCTTCCAACGCTTTCCAATCGGCGTAAGAGAGGTGACCTAATTTTAACTTTTCGGGCGCTTAAAGATCCGCAATCGCCCATCAGGCATTTGTTTCCCCTCAATACACTTAGTAGAACTAGAGGGCATTGTTTTAAACTAGTGAAGGATAAATTCCGCTCCACAGTGAGGCAACATTTTATTTCCAATAGAGTTTTCGAGACGTGGAACGCCTTACCAGCCAGTATTGTTGAAGCTGATACAGTGACAAATTTCAAAATTAAATTTGATAATTATAATGGTTAAAATTAATTGGATTTGTTTGTTAGTTAGGTAGCTAGGTAGCGCGGGCATAACAGGCTAGGCCTCTGCCCGAACGCAAAACTAATAATAATAATAATAATAATAAGCATCCAGTTTTTAGGGAAAAAATAAAAATTTTGTAACAATATTTTAAAATTTAACTTTGAAATTACAAAATGGAATGCTCTAAAATTCTGCAAACGTGTGAAGATTATGGCATGGTAAATCGTTAATCAACATTTAACCGTTTACGCCCCCTCCCCCTAAAAGTTAATGACGTAATCTTACAATTTTGCCGAATAAATGTTGTTTAAATGTTATAAAATACTGTATTCCTACGTGTGCGACTTACGAATCCAGGAGTTGTTACTCTAGACATGCAGATTTTTGGAAAA